AAAAAAATTCTTAGTAGATTTAACTACTTTTTAACTACTTTCCTTAGTTCAATAAGTCCCCAAAGATAATTTTGAACTTACATTAATTATCAGATATGTAGTTGAATGAAGTGATAATACAGTTGCATTAACTACTTTTCTTAGTTAAATAGGAACCAATGACAGTTTTGCAGTAGAATTAACTGCTGATATGTAGTTAAAGTTACTAAGATAACTCAGTAATAAAGTAACTACTGAAAATGGTAAAATAAAATTATTTATAATTTATTATAAATATTATCGAGTTGTATTTTTTTATATTTCCCCCTACCCACTTTTGTTTACCTATACCTTATTTATTTAATGTCTATATACCTAACGGAGAAAAATCTCTAAACGTCGGGAGTTGAACGCTCGACCCTAACATTCGTAAACCGATAACCTAACCACCTAACCACGCTCGCCCGCTACGATGAGTTGCTTAATACTTAAAGGCATTCCAGACACAGTTCAACTGATAACTGTAGTTAATTTTACTACTTAAAGTAGTTGCATTTACAACTTTTCACAGTTGATAATCTTCTATAAAAATCTATAACATAAATTACATGGAAAATAATTCAACTCCTCGAAGAAGTAAAAACTACTACAAAATTAGTCTATCGAACTACTTTAAGTAGTAGAATCTACTACTTTCTGTAGTCATTTCTATAACATACCTGCAGTTACAAAGTTAACTGTAAAATTACATTAATTTAATTAATAATTTTTAACTACATAAAACAGTTAAAATAAGTATCAAAAGTAGCCAGACTTACTAAAAAAGTAGTTCGTTTTATTACTTTTAACTCTACTAAGGGGATGTAGTTGAAAATGTCTCATGTATTTTTTTCAGTGCACTTAATCTCTGAATCATCAGCAAACAAAAACATGTGATGAGAATGTAATCCTTAAAGTCGTAGTAACTTTAAGAAAAAAAAAATGTTTTATGAAACATATAATAGGAAACAAGAACACAAATAATGCACAATAATTGCAGACCACCTCGAGCGAAGCAAGCCATTTGCGCGCGAAGCGCGCAACAACACACGGAGCGCGAAGCGCGACGATCAATACTCGCGCGCCCCGAGGCGCGCTGAAACTTGCGAGTGAAGCGAGCCCCCGCGCGAAGCGCGGATGAGAATGTGTCCGCGCTTGCGCGGACAGATTTTTTTTGTAGGGTTTTCGATAACTTTTAAAAAACTGTTAAACTGTTACCAACTCTACAAAAATATACAATGTGGAATATTAGCAGAAATTCTGTACGGAAATTCTTTACGGAATTTCCGTAAAGTGGTTTCCGTAGAATCGTTTCACGTGGGTAAAAAATAATACCCAGTGAGAAATTGCCAATAGACTTTAATCGGTCCAATATCGGTCCAATATTGGTTGCCGTGCTGGGCGCCGATTGACTCCCAATATTGGACCAATATGGGCTGATGCTTGGGATGTAACGGGTTCGCCAAGCATCGGTTGTTAATATTGGTCCAATATTGGCCGAATAATGGCAACCAAGAGAAAAAATTTTTTTAAATAAATTTTTTTAATTAAATAATAATAATAAAAAATTAATGTTTATAATTTTTGTTTAATATATTTATTTGTTTAATTATTTATTTTTAATAATTCATGTAAATAATAAATAATTTATTATTTATAAATTATAATTATTTAAAAATGCAGCAGCTATTAGGAAATAGCATTTTGCAAAAAAATTCTATCATTGAAAAATCAATGATAGGCGAGAGAAATCCGCGTCTTTAAATAGATTCGCAGATGATAGACAAGAGATATCCGCGTCATTAAACGGATTCGCAGATATACTCTGGTCTCGCGACGAATCTCTCGATACTTATATACACTGGAGTCGCCGTGTCAGTTGCGAGAACGGTTACAGCGTCCCTCTTGCGGCAGAGATAAGAATTGTCACGTAAACTGCTAAATCGCTTTACCGACGGCCTTATTATACCCGCAGTTTACGTGACAATTCTTATCTCTGCCGAAAGAGGGACGCTGTAACCGTTCTCGCAACTGACACGGCGACTCCAGTGTATATAAGTATCGAGAGATTCGTCGCGAGACCAGAGTATATCTGCGAATCTGTTTAATGACGCGGATATCTCTCGCCTATCATTGATTTTTCAATGATAGAATTTTTTTGCAGAATGCTATTTCCTAATAGTTGCTGCATTTTTAAATAATTATAATTTATAAATAATAAATTATTTATTATTTACATGAATTATTAAAAATAAATAATCAAACAAATAAATATATTAAACAAAAATTATAAACATTAATTTTTATTATTATTATTTAATTAAAAAAATTTATTTAAAAAAATTTTTTTCTCTTGGTTGCCAATATTCGGCCAATATTGGACCAATATTAACAACCGATGCTTGGCGAACCCGTTACATCCCAAGCATCAGCCCATATTGGTCCAATATTGGGAGCCTTTATTGGACCGATGATTGGTCTCTTGGCTCCCAATCCCAGGCGGAAAAGTCGGACGAATGTCGGAATTTACAACCGGCTGGGATCCGCGCCCGTACAGACCGCAAGTACCGACGGTCTGTACCGATTCGGATCTGAAAAAGCAACCGGCGCGGTACAGATTATGCTCCGACTGTCGGATCCGTCTTCCCACTATTGTCAGTACCGGCTCGGTACTGGATTTCTTCCGCCGGCGGATCTTATTCTTCTGCGGCGTCGGAAGAATGACGGATATGTTAAGTCTGTACTGGCTCGGTGCTGGGCCGGATCCGACTGCGGATGTCGTCATTTATTGTCACATTATAAATCACATTATAAATTTATTTTTAATAAATGTGTCATAACTAAATAATTATTACAATAATTAATTGCATTATTTTAGAAAATAATGATTAATTAATAAATGAATTTAATCAAAATATTAAGTAATTATTTATTAAGAGTTTTTTCAAAATTAATTAAAAAAATTTGTTTTGCACTTATAGTTTATAATTATTATAAATAAATTTATACTATTAATATAAATTTATTATTATTGAGATATTATTAATTAATATTATTGAGAATTAATAATAAATTATTAATATTAATAAATATTAATAAATATTAATATTCATGTTAATAATTTATTATTAATTCTCAATAATATTAATGTTAATTAATAATATCTCAATAATAATAAATTTATTATTATTGTGATATTAATTAAAATTATTAATATTATTATGTTCAATATTATTATATTGAGATACAATTATTTAATATATTACATAATAATAAAAATATAGCTGTAGCATTGACGCGTAGTTATTCGACAAGTTTCATTTCAGCTTGTGACACTTGAGAGTATTTAAGATTTGAGAGTCCCATGCGAGCGTAGCATAGTGGTTAGCGTGCGAGATTTCGGTGCGTAAATATTCGGTTAGGCGTAGGTTCGTACCTCCAAGCGTTAGGATTTTTCAAATGTGTATGTAATAAAAAATTGCGTTTAAGTGTATAAAAAAATAAAAAAAATGTGTAAAGTGAACTGTCAATGAATTGTCATCAGTATTTATCTTTTGCAATTAATTATTATTTTTTTATTGATATTTGTTGAAATTATCATTTGGATCCGATCCGGTTGTCAGTCGGTAGAATGCCAGCGCTCGGCTGGCTATTAAATGAAAAATCCACGGTCGGTAGAGTGCCAGGTCCCAGCCGGTTGAATTATACACGGAACGGCTTCTCCCGGCTGGTCAGCGGGCTGTAGAATGCCAGTTCCGAGCCGGTTGCCAGCGCGCTCCTGGCCTAGTCACTATTCGGTAGAATGCCCGTTCACATTCGGTTGGCAGGCGGTTCCGAGCCAGTACAGTTACACCGGCGTCAGTACGGGCTAGGATCCGCGCCGGTTGGAAATTTCCGCCTGGGATATTGGACCGGTAAGAAATTTCTCACTGGGTAATTGAATTGATGAAAATAATTTTGAAGAAGTTACAGTAACAATATTCTTATAATATAAAATAATATGAATTTATCACTCGACCATCCCTCAATTATTATTAAACATGAAGAAATCGATCACTTTGAGTCAAAGACTCGGAATTAACGATATTTATTCATGTTTTGTGACAACATTCCGTCGCTTGGGTGATAAACCATACTATTTCAGCTTTGCGCTGAAAACCATTCTGTTTCAAATACGCACTGAAAAACATACCATTTCGCGAGTGTGCTAAAAAACATTCATTTTCAAAAGACAGTTGAAAAACATACGATTTCAACAGAGTTTTGAAGATAATTTCATTTCGAGAACATACAATTTTTTCAGGTTGACAACTTTAACAAGATATTTATAAGGTTAAGAGATCTTAAAGAAACTTGCAAATCACTTAAGTTGAGTCTCCAATGTGAGAGAAGGTGCGCATCGATGTTCATAGCTATAGATATACCACATCATACTTTAGTATACCTATAGCTATGAACATCGATGCGCACCTTGTCTTATTGGAGACTCAACTTAAAATGTATATAATTTATCACAATTTTTATCATTTTATATGTAACCTACAATATTTTTTTCTTCAAAGTTATTGAATTTGACATTTTTAAAAATCTTAATTTCTATTGAAAAATAATAATGATTAAATTAATATTTATTTAAAAGTGAAGTTATTGATGTTTTCGAATAATTTTACATTTAAATTAAATAAATATAAGAGAACATTTTTTTGAGTATCTAATAATTTTTCTAGAGAATCAGAATATTCTTTAAGGTCAGGGAAAAAGTGAAAATTTTTTCTGAAAATCGGGGAAAAGTCAGGGAAAAGGAAATTAATTATTTGTGACAACCCTAATATTAAAAATTGAATAAAAGTAAAAAAATGTTTACCAAAGCTGATATTAAACTACTTACAACAGTTTCTGTGGAATACTGAAAAGTGTGTTGTAATATGTTTTTTCTTTTAAAAAGAGGATGCTAAATAATTGATAAGAGAGAATTTGACTACCTTGGAGATTCTGGACAAATTGGCAGGAGTAATAGTTGTAAAATGGCAGGACAAATGGCAAGTCCAAGTAGAACAGGCCAGCCATCGTTTGTACCAAGAATTTGTTCGATACCCAGCACCTGGGAGACTAGGAGGCCCACCGTAACAGCGAGCTGGTTCACCGTGCCTAGGCCGCCTCTTAGGTTCAATGGTGCTATCTCCGATATGTACATTGGAACCAATGATGTGTTTAAACCACAATTTACACCTATGATAAAACGGCCAAAGAACAACATTTCATATGAATGGGCAATTTTTGTGAAGCCCATGAGGCATGCCCCTACGACGCCCAGCACGTTGTTTAGCAATAAGCCTCCTTTTCTGCAATTAGAACAAAAAGAGGAATTTAAGTTTTTTTAAAATTTTTTTTCTTACGGTTAGGATATTATTTTCTTCAATTTTTCGCTAGAGAAATTTTTCAAATAATTTCTAAGAAATTTCTTCGAGAATTTAATAATTGACACTTTTTTTCACCGCGTACAACTATTTGGCTAGTATTTTTTAAATTATTTACCGTCTGCAATTTTTTTAATCTTAGAATTCATTTTCCCAAGTAAATAATTAATAAATTGATATTCAAAAAATATTTTGATAATTCAAAAAATATTTTGATAATTCAAAAACTATTTATTTACTGGAAATTTTAATTCCAAGACTCAAAAAATTGGAGAAGGTAAAAATTTAAAAAAAAATTGAAAATCAATTATATTAATTCGATGGCTCCTAAATAAAAACACATTATCCGCAAGAGAAATTATAAAACACGTAACTCACGAAAAAAAATTTTAAAAAAGCGTTTTTATTTGAAATATTTTTTAGGCTAATTTTTTTAAATTTTGTCATTTATTTTAAGCTAATATAAAATGCCAAATAAATAATTTTTATTATTTAAAGTTAATTTAGCTTGAATAAAACAATTTTATTAACTTATATTTTTGCAATTTGTTTACACTTTAAAAATAATAAATATTAAAAATTGTAACATAGCCTTAAAAAACTTTCATTTTAAATAAGCATGTTTTCTTTTTTTTTCCTTTGATATTTTTACGTGTTTTATAAACGCTCTTGCGAATAATATGTTTTCATTTAGGAGCCTTCGAATTGTTAAACTACCTGGATTCGATTATTAATAATTATATGAAATTAGAAACATGTTTTTATTTCTAAATTAAGTCCGAGGTTTGAAAATTGAAATCTCGGGCAACTTTTTCAAAATAATTTTATTTAGCTAACAATTTTAGTTAGAAATTATAGAAAATAATTGTATTTTAAAAAAGTTATAGGGGAAAAACTTTTAGATAAATTAGAATTTAATTTCGTTTTCACCATTTTTAAATTCTCGAAAAACATTCTCAAAATTATTTAAAAATTATTTTTGAGGAAAAAATAGGGAAAAATCGGATTTAAAGGAAAAAAGTTCAATTCTGTTGGGAAATGACAAAGTAGTTGTAGGGAAAAAGAAAATTTAATAATTAATTGCAAAAAATTGACAAACCTGCCAAATCTGTTAGCAATTGTTCCCCCACTAAATCCTCCAAGCATCCCTCCGATTGCAAATATACTGACTGCCAATGAATATAAATTATTTGCTGTACTGTCCGACATATCTTCTCCATACCTCGCTTTATGTACATCTTTCATAAAACTCTCAATATTCTGCAAGAAAAAAATTATTTTTTTAATTTAAATTAACCTTCATTAAAATTTTTAATTAAATTAAAATTTTTCTAAATAAAAAAAATCTCTTTCACTCACGCCAAAAGCTCTTTCATATTTTCCAAAAAAAGGGAATTTTCCGTTTTTTGTTGTTGTTCTATTTATTGTTTCACTATTTTTTGACGTTTGATTGAGAATTTTTTTTCACTATTTGTTTAAATTTTTTTTAAATTTAAATTTTAAATATATATAAATTTATTTTCTAAATATAGGGAAGAGTCTCTAGTTGTGAGACACCTCCAGTTGTGAGACAGTCTATTTTTTTTAACATGCAATATTAAAAAGCCGATTGGTTTATATTTTTTATACAAACCAATCGGCTTTTAACTATTGCATGTTAAAAAAAATTGACTGTCTCACAACTGGAGGTGTCTCACAACTGGAGACTCTCCACTGAGAAAACTGGAGAGTCAAATTCAGAGGTTTAAAAAGTGTATGTTTCCTTTGCTTGTGAAGAGAGTTAAATAGTCCTTCTAAAATAAATTTTGAATTGATAATGGAAATCTACTTGTATATTCTCTCCCATTATATCTGAGGGTTAAAAGTTGCGCAGAAAATGTGTACGATCTGATGCGCGCGAAATTATTTTTCTGACATTTTATGTATTTAATTTAGGGGTTAGGTTGACATATTTATTCATTTCGCGCCGGATAAGGAAGGGATTTCTCAAGATGGTTAATTTGTCCCTCTGTTAGAGAAATGGCACGAATATCTGTCAATGGTGAATTTGAACATTTAGATTGTTATCCAATAGCTAACTCTCAAATATGAACGATTTGTCCCTCCAGATGTTTAGTCCAATACTCCAGTTTTCTCAGTGTCCCCTATCGAAAAAAACAGATACGTATTTTTTTATTTTTGTTTAATTATCCAAATTTTCGAGTTATGAATTTTCGAAATAACTTAAATAACTTTTAATTGTAGACCTATATTTAGTAGCTTATGAGTCCGAAAATATTGAGTTTAGAAAACAGTTGTCAAAGAATTTTGTTTAAAAAAAATTTTTTTGTTTACATGTCTTAAAAGTCGAAAGAAAACTAAAACTTTCATTCTTTGACAACTTTTTTCTAAACTCAATATTTTAGGACTTATAGGCTACTAAATATAGGTCTACAATTAAAAGTTATTTAAGTTATTTCGAAAATTCATAACTCGAAAATTTGAATAATTAAACAAAAATAAAAAAATACGTATCTGTTTTTTTCGATAGGGGAGAGTCTCCAGTTGTGATACAGTCAATTTTTTTTAACATGCAATAGTTAAAAGCCGATTGGTTTATATAAAAACATTTCTTTTTATATGAGCCAACTTTTTCGTGTACGCCGAAGCGGATATATAAACTGTTTTTGTTAAATACCAACACTGAGGGTGATAATCGACTAAAAAGCGTTTTTTCAATAAATGCAAAGTTCTTTTTTTCCAAGTTAATTAATTGGAAAAGGTAAATGTAATGCATTTTCTTTTAGTGTTTTCCTTATATTTTGTGATGCAATATTGCATTGATCCAATCTACGGTTGAAAATAATTTAATTTTCCTTTTTTAAAATAGCGCCAATTTCTGGGTGTGAGACACAGCATATCACCAGTTGTGAGACGGTGTCAACACCCATCTAGGCAGCATAAAAAATACGACTTTGCAACTATTTAAATGTTGTTATGATTTTTTTTTCTAGTATTTTTGGGCATTTCAAGTCAGGGTGGCCACCGGACCTTGAAACCTTGAAAACCTTGAAATGGACGTGAATTTTGTCAAACCTTGAAAAAACCATGAATTGGACGTGAATTTTTTTATAAACCTTGAATTTTAGTGTTATATATATTAATAAAACTGAAAAAAAAAAATTTTGACCATTTTCAAAATTTTATTTTTTGTAAAAATTAAAATTTTTCAGGATTTCCACAGGTCAGAAAAATCAGGGAATTCAGGGAAAAGTCGGAGATTTTTATTTAAGTAACTGAAAAAAAATTGAATTTTGGAGAAGTTAAAAATGATTGCAGAAATTCAATTATTTTCAAAAGTAATAAAATTCTTCGCAGAAATTCAATTATGTTCGAAAATGAAAAAAAATTCTCATAAAAATTCAATTATCTTTAAAAATAATAAAATTCTTCTCCAAATTTCAATTATTTTCAAAAATTTTAATAAAATTCTTTGCAAAATTTCAATTATTTTCAAAAAATTTTTCTTAATTCAACGATTTTCAATATCTACAGTTTTAATAAAATTTTTCAGAAGAATTCAATTATTTAAAAAAAAAATTTTGATAAAATTCTAAGCAAACTTTGCAATAATTCAATTATTTTCATAAATAATAAAATTCATAATAGAATTGTTTAATATAATTTCAATTGAATTCCTCGAAAAATTTTATTATTCTTGAAAATTTTATTAACCCATTAACGCCCAAATGTCCAAAATTTTTGACTGAAGTTCAAGGTAAAAATTTTTATCCTAAATGATTAGACTTTTAAAAACCCTTCAATACTAGGGGGTATTGGGGTCCGCTCTTTCAGAATCCGGGGTTGAAAAAGCATTTCGACCATCAAGAAAACCAATATGGCGCCCAAAATGGAGAAAATACTGAAAAAATTGTATGTTTTTTTTTGAAACACGCTTTTCACATCAATAAGATTTTTTTGGGCGGGTCTCATGTAAGCTATAGGTGGATAAAGTAGTTGTACATTCGAACTGTGTAATTGACAACTTGAAAATTCAAGATGGCGGATCCAAAATGGCAGAAAAATCAGAGCAAAATACTTGATAAATAGCAAAAGCATCATCAATATTCAAAACTTGATTTAAATCATCTGAAAATTACTTTTTGGGGGTTTTCGGGGTCGCTGATTACGAATATGAAGTTTAATTTTAAAAATTCAAAATGGCGGATCCAATGTGGCGGATAAAAATTTTTGATAATCGATAAAATTGCATGAAATTACTCACTTGGGGGGTTTTGGGGTCGCTGATTACGAATATGAAGTTCAATTTTTAAAATTCAAAATGGCGGATCCAATATGGCGGATAAAATCTTTTTAAAATAGATAAAATTGCATGGAATTACTTACTCGGGGGTTTTTAAGGTCGATGATTACGAATATGAAGTTTAATTTTAAAAATTCAAAATGGCGGATAAAAATTTTTGAAAATCGATAAAATTGCATGAAATTACTCACTCGGGGATTTTTGTGGTCGCAGATTACGAATCTGAAGTTTAATTTTTAAAATTCAAAATGGCGGATCCAATATAGCGGATAAAAATTTTTGAAAATCGATAAAATTGCATGAAATTACTCACTTGGGGGTTTTGGGGTCGCTGATTACGAATATGAAGTTCAATTTTTAAAATTCAAAATGGCGGATCCAATATGGCGGATAAAAACTTTTTAAAATAGATAAAATTGACTAAAATTACTTACTCGGGGGTTTTCGGGGTCGCTGATTACGAATTTTAAAAGTGCAATTTTCAAAATTGAATACTACAAATTCATAAATTTCTAGTTGTTTTGGAGAGTTTATTTTGTTTGTTAGCCGTCACGTTTTTCTGGCGTTGCCGAACTCTCACCACGTGGAGGTCGACAAAGTTAAAAGTCTCCTTTTTTTAAAAATTTTTTGAACAATTTTTAAATATTTTTTTGTATTTTTTAATTTTTTAATTTTGTTGTAGGATGTTGTGCGGTGATGTGCAACGTTTTTTTTCGTTGGACGAAAAACATGTCAAATATTTAAATTTTTAAATATTTCGAAATTGATTGACTTAGAGGCATTATAATAGAATATTTATATATATATATATTGGGGTGATGTGCAACACCAGTAAAATTCAGGTATGTAATGCATAAATATCGATGAAAATCTCTTTAATTATTAATTTTAGGCTTTTTCAATGTAAACTAATCGAAATCTGCCAAAAAAAATTTACTAAGGTATAGTTGACCTCTAAAAAGTGAAGATTTCACCAAAGAAAAAAATTTTTTTTTTGTTTAATTTTTTATTTATTCATAACTGAATAAGGAATATAATTAAAGGAAAATAACTAATAATTTTTTATTCATCATGTGAATCGCAGTTATGGCACGTAAAAAGTAGTTACGTCGACCCCAAAAAAAGTGTTGCACATCAACCCAAATATGATATTTTGCGAAAAATGATTTGTACGCAATACAATGCAATGGAAACACAAAATATAAAAAGATATTAAAAAACACTTAAAAAAGCAACAATAAGCACATTCTCATCTATAAAATAAATTAAAACCCTTCACGAAACGACTAGAAATGTAAAGCGCGAGAAATATTTCCTTCTCGAGAAATTTAAGTCAACTTACGTACAGCAAACCTAGCTGCGAGCTGTCTCGTGAATTTCATATCAAAAACAAGCTACTGAGGATACAAACAAATGGCAATACACGTGGTGAGAGTAATCAGCGACCCCGAAAACCCCCGAGTGAGTAATTTCATGCAATTTTATCGATTTTCAAAAATTTTTATCCGCCATATTGGATCCGCCATTTTGAATTTTAAAAATTGAACTTCATATTCGTAATCAGCGACCCCAAAAACCCCCGAGTAAGTAATTCCATGCAATTTTATCTATTTTAACCCTTTAATGGCCAGTGGTACACATACGTACCACCTACTTCAAAAAATCATAACTTTCCTAAAACTTAACGGATCAAATCCGCTAAGGTCTCATTTTGAAGGGGTGAACAAGAGTAATAAATACATATGCTTCTCATTTTCCAAAAAACTACCCTTTCTGAAATACACCCCTTTAAAAAACGCGAAAAATGACAAAAATTGTAAAAAAGGTATAAATTTAAGAAAAAAATTTTTTTTTCGGCTTACGCAGTAACAAATGTTTAAAAATATTGTAATCTTTGTAAAAAAAAATTAATAACAAAAATTTTCCTCGGGGTAAAAAGAAAATTAATGAAAACTAC